AATTATCTGATTAAATTTTATTAGGTACCGGAAAAAAGTTCGTGTGATTTTTCTATCAACGATAAAGTCAAACCGAATTTTTTGTAGCAGTTCGCAAATCTGATACACAAGGTAGGTATCAGCGGAAGGTTTTATCGATTTAGTTGTTAACAGGAAGGATGTACTTCTTTTGCAGACTCGTAAAAAAGTAAAGGATGTCGGATGGAACGTTTTACCTCATCCTTATAGACCAGACTTGGTCTCCCTACGATTGTCACATATTTTTGTCTATCTAAGAATTTTTTGCAAATAAGCACTTTGAAAACGATGTCGAGATGAAAACATTAATTAATGAATTTTTTGCAAGTAAAACTCGATATTTTTATATTAACAGAATGTACAAGCTTATAGAGCCAAGTAAATGGTAATTGGTTTGTTAAATCAAATTTCAAGGAAGTTCAGATCACTTGAATTTTATATTATAAATCTGCACCAACTTTTTCCGATACCTAATACATTCAACTGAAAATTTCCATAATTTATTGAATCGCACGTTCATGGTATTGGTATAAAGGGGGACGCTATCATATAAATCAATAGCACGCCTGTACTAAGTAGTCAGATATTTTAGCTCCGCTTTACTGACTTCATACTGATAACCGTTCAACATTGTCAGGTAAACTAAGCTTCCTATTTCCTCTTTAAGGAACTTTATGTATAAAAATATGGCTGTTATCAAAGATGTACTTCAACAGTGCAATATATTGTTAATTATCGATAACTAATATAATTGTTAACATATTGCGAGCAGATCGTAAGATTTCTCGTGTTTGCGTTTCTAAGTGCTACAGCAGTAAAAATAGCAAGTGATGATTTTAAAAATGATCACTGTAGCTAAACACTTAAATTCGAACATACATTGAGAATACAAATTTTTGTAAAATTATGCATGTAAATGTTTACTGTTTAATCAAATTTTACCACGTAATAAGAATGAAAGAAACAAATGATCCGACGTTGATGTGTTAAAAACTCTGCGAATCTTTTTTCATTTGTTGTATGTACATAGAAAATTCTTGAAACAGAATTATCAATATTTTAACGCTTAATCCAGAGGAATTAAATTAAAGATTCACTTAAGGTATACTAGTTGCGTAAACTAGCATCCACTTGAAAAGAGCGTGGATCTTAGATTTCTTTGTTTGCTTCCAATGCAAATTAAGGAAGCTTCTAGCAAAAGGGAGGAGGGGTGAAGAAAGTGAGAGAGAGAGAGAATTTGATCGTTTCTCCCTCGTATCGTCTTATAAACCAAAGTTACTCTTCTCATTGTTAAATGAATGAAGCAATATACAAAGAACTTACGATTTCAAGGGGGTGATTCCCAAAGGTGGATTGGGTAGATAGGAGGAATAACAAGTAAGGAAGAATCACGACGCTACTTGACGCTAATTGCACAGAACGCTTATCGTTATATTTACTCCTGAATCAGACTATTTGTATATGTATGTATATCACAAACATCAATAGCTCGAGTGGGCTGACTAATGATCACGGAAAAAAGACAAGGTATAACGTCCTCCGATCATCGATTGTATTTCTATTCTGCTAACGTGTGTACAACCGATAAATGCTAAGAATATTCATCTTACATAGAAGTTGTAAGGTATTTTCATTACATTTTGTAATTCTTTAATTTTTAAAGGCAACACTAGAAGCTTGTTACTTTGCACAAATTGTATCTGAAAAAGCCGAATATCCGTTGCACAAAGTGTCGCAATACAAAGCGAAATCATTTAATTTTTTAAGTAATTGCGTTATCTAGATGCGCAGCTAACAAAAAGATTAATGTACGAAGCCATTCTGCCGTCCGTTTTTAATAATATTACAGTCTCATATTGAATTTACTGATTTATTTGCTTTCAATTGGAACGATACTTTAAAACTTTTAACCGGTTTAAGACATGTCTGATAAAACCTAAAATTCAAATTGCTATACAATGCCCATTGTAAGAAAATTGTTAATTTTAACTAAGATTTTCTTCTGTTCTTGAAATTTCAACGTAACCTTTTAATAAAAAACATTAATATTAACACAATGGAAAGTCTTTGTACAATTTTATATTACAGAAGAGAGAGGAGAATATAAAATATTAAAATACGTGTACACGGAAATGAACAGGAATGTTAATATAGAACATCGATCCCATCTAAAAGCCTGCTATTCCGTGAAAAATATTACGAATGATTTTTAGATAGAGAAAGTCGATTCTGCCTCGTGTGTCGGCGCAAATAAAATCGGACCCTAAATAGCACGTCTGGCGAAGGGTTAAAACCACCCGTTGGAAATAAAAAGGCGCTGTGCCTGCAAACCTTCTGCATAGCGGCATGTATGCCCCTTCTATGTACGTGTGCAATTTTACGACGGACATGTGTATACAAATTTCAAGTGATACGCGCTTACCTCAATTGATCACAGGCCATCTGACCGTAAAATTCACGTAGGCCACGAAATGTCGTAAAGTACTCGTATTCAACCAGAATGAATGAATAAGTAAGAGTTACACAAGTCCAATACATTCGCTACCACCGTTCTGTTCAAACATCTTCCGCTATCCCTGGTATTATTTTTGCTTACATTCTTGATCAGGTTTACATGATACAATGAATCCCTACACTTATTCACACGTAATTTTCACTAAATAGGCAAACTGTGCATTTTGTATGATGCATTATACATACACTACCGGCCAAATGTTTGGAATCACTGTGCATCGCAAGTTGCACAAAAATTCCCTCAAAAAAGGTAGCATTTATAATAATTTTTTATCATTCAATTCAATCGAAATGAGGTAAAGTGCTGTTGATCTCCACAACATCAACTTCAAATCAATAAAGAATTAGTAGCAGATTCAATGTTAATGTAAATTGCCAGGTGATTCGAAACTTTTGGCCGGTAGTGTATGTACGTAAGTACTTGGTAATGCCATAAATTCTATCCGTAACAAAATTAATTTTATGTACCACGTAAATTAAAACAAAGAATAATCTTTTAACGTCTTTTATTTGTAAGGTATAACACAATATAAAAATTGTTGAAACTGTTCAAAGCGACCACCTTTTACTTGCACACACTTTTGTAAACGATCTGGCCACTCGTCTATCGCTGCACATGTAACTTCTATATTGAGTTTGCTGACTACAACATCTCAATATTACAACATGGCGATAATCAAAGGGGATTTAGATCGGGACTTCTTGCTCGCCAATCATCTGCAGGGACGAATGCAGCTAAATTTGTTTCCAGCCAATGTTGTGCCGTTTTGGCTTCGTGTGCCGGTGCCATCTTGCTAAATTATTCAGTCTCCTCCAGCAAAGTATTATTGAGGTTAACTACTTTCTCTAAAACTTCGTTTTCGTAATTTCTAACTCTTGTTTTCGGAGTTTCACGTTTTCATACAAAGGAAACATTTTATTTTATGGGACGGAACTTATAACACTGCCATGGAGATAACAGCGGTCTATCATGAGCGTTGGCGCATCGCACGCGTGTGACGCTGGTAGCGAATATGTTGAACAAAAGAAACTCGTATAAGGCACGCACGCAGCCGTTAGTTTCAAATGCCTTTTCTGAAAGCTGGATCTTCTAAGTTGGTGGGCACCATATTTCAATAATTAATATTTCAAATTCGTACACTATTTTTTATCAAGCCACTATTTCTATTCAAAAGAAAGCCACTATTTTATAATAAAATACAAATTTAAAAATTAAAAGCGTCAACGAAGTCCTCTACATCCCATCTATTGTAGTACTCACATAATTGTCACAAATCAGGTCTGTATCGTGACAGTTATCAAGAAAGGGAGGTGTTCTAGAAATTGACGGCTGTTATCTCTCTCCGGTTCAATCGCTTCTTGAATGCAGTGAAGGCGAGAGTGACAAGCATTAAGTGTGAGTGAAATAGAGAAAAAAGTTGGAACTGTTGTACGATGTATAACACATGCCTGCACAGCTAAATACTTACAGGTATTGGAATTTTTACAAATTACATATCAATTTGTTTATGACTTGTATGAGACTAACTAGAATATTTATAGCAGTAGTTATAAATTTTACACTTTTTTCTTTAAACGCATATCACCCGTGTAATTCAAAATCGTTCGAATAAGGTTAAATTTGGTATCGTTCTTATAAAGTAAAAAATATGAAAATTCCATTTTTTTTTTATTTTGGTGAATGATTAACAACTGAGTTATCGGTGATCATAGAACATAAATAACGGCGAACTCATACTGCATGAAATAGTTCCAGAAATTGGTAGGGATAATTTCGCGACAATTAAGCAGGCAAAAATGCACAGTTGAGTAGGCACTACTGTACTTTTAAAATCCGTTTGACTTTTTACTTTCAAGTAAACCGTTTAGCATGTACAATGTGGTATAACCACAAAAAGTACCGACGGCGGGCAAAAATTTTTACAAGAAAAAAGTGGCCATCAAAGTGTTAATATTTCTTTTATCGACCATGCTTCCAATGGTTTTCAAATTAATGGAAACACGGTTTAAAACTTTCAAAGATTTACAAACAATCTAAATGGACTGTTTGATAAATGCAACCAACCTTCGGTTGTCAAACCAAGTCTCGTTATTAAATGGAATTTGATTGAAGCTTGTGCATTGCTGTGAGATTGAAACGAGACAGTCGATGATATCGGTTTGAAATAGAAAAAGACGAAGCAAAGAAACTATAATTATTTGGAATTGTTCTTTCGTCTATTATACTCTTTATAAATACAAAAAAGTCAGCGGTTCGAAAGGATAAAATAGACAAAGATATATTAAAGGGAAAATACAGCAAAACGAACAAAGTATGAAAATTAAAGATATGTACCAATCTATTAGTAATATGCTAGTACAAATTAGAGAAAATGGAATAAAATAAACTGTTAATAATTTATAGAAGATACTTTAGCAACTGGAGTGGTCAAACTCGAAAAAGGAAAAATAAAAGAGAAACACCGTACCTTTCTCTCATAATCTAAGTTCGGCACAGCCAACCAGGGTAAATCAGAAACGTGTGCACGAAAACTTTCCTCAAAGTCGAAGACGTCGGCTACGTTACTCCAAAGAACCACGTGTACGACCTCGAATTTTTTCCTCCTTTCTCTTCCCCTGATAGAAATCTTCGCATCTCGGTCGTTCTCCGCGTATGATGACGAGTTGAGATTCGTGTACAACTCGAGCAGCTGACGCGTAAAATCATCACAGGTAGCACCTGGGTTAATGAAACTAAAATACACACCGATCACTTCACAGGTCGCTTGACCGTCCTCGTCAATAAGTGTACCACTTGCATCGCTAAGTTTTATGTCCTGCTGATTAACCTGACTGCACCGCGACAATTGTTTACCGAATAGTCTGTGCTGCCAACAGACTGATTTTGCGGCGGCCGCAGGTAACTTTTTCGTTACGTTTCCCGAGCTAGATGATGCCTGCTCGTTATAGCACACGGCCATCGCACATAACAATTATACCGCTTCATTCACCAGCGACACGCACCTACAAACCTTTCGTTTCTACACTGCTTCTAATCGAATTCGTTACTCCTTGACATCAACGCCGACTGATTCACGTTTCGCTGACTCGCAACTCACGACCAATCGCGAACAATTCGATCCGGTCGAAGCCGAACAGCTCCGAATTGTCCCGATGAAAGCGCGCTGTTTTTTTATATTTGTGTATTAAGACTGTTACTTTTTTCATTCGATTAAAATCAATTTATCGCATCGTAGAAGTTTCTAATATAAAATTTATTGACTGTTTATATTATTGCATGTTTTTAAC